GCCCCTTACGAAACGTATGTCATGCGTAAATTCTAAAATATAGGCCATTTGTCGGATCTCACGTGCTGTATACGATGTGCTGCTAGATGTTAAGGCGTATGTCAAGGTCGGTAAGAATAAAAATATCTCGACCTTCCAGAAAGTGATGGAAATGTTTGATAGCAAGGTAGATACCAAGGAGCTCACGGTCAAATGTACTATAACGTGTTTCAGTTTGTGATAATGTCTTCGAAAAGAAAGCAACTGGTCGCCAATGTTCATCAACGAATTGTTGGAGCACCGCTCCCACAGCGGTATCGGAAGCGTCTACCATAAGTGAAGTTGGAGCGTCACACTTAGGATAAGATAGCAGAGTAACCTCCGAAAGTTCTTTTTTGATGCGAGTGAACGCAATTTCGGCGGCGTCATTCCACAGAATTTTATCGTTCTTCCTCTTAGAGCCACGGAGAAGTGAGTTTAGTGGTTGGAGAATTGCGGCGCAGTGTGGAATAAATCGCCTATAAAAATTGACGAGGCCTAGGAACTCACGAAGTTTCCGCACCGAAGTCGGAGGAAAGTAGTTTTCAATTGCCTGAACTTGAGACCTGAGCGGATGAATACCATGTTGGTCTAGGTGATGTCCAAGAAAATCCAGCTCAGATACTCCCAGTTCACATTTTGTGGCGTTGATTGTAATTCCATATTCGTTTAGTCGAGCAAAAATTTGGCGCAAGTGTTCTTCATGGAGCTCCTTGTTTGGGCTAAAGATTAGAATATCGTCGATGTAGGCGAAGCAGAAGGTCAGTCCTCGGAGCAATTGGTCCATAAACCGTTGAAATGTTTGGGCCGCGTTTCGAAGACCGAATGGCATGCGTAGGTATTCGAACATGCCGAAAGGTGTTACTACGGCAGTCTTCGGGATGTCGGCCGGTTCTACGGGAATCTGGTGGTATGCTCGTACAAGCTCGAGTTTTGAAAAAACGGTGGATCCTTCAATGGTGCTAGTGAAATCTTGAATGCGAGGTATAGGGTATCGATCGGGCACGGTGATGTTGTTTAGAGCCCGATAGTCCCCGCAAGGTCTCCAGTCACCGTTCTTTTTTGGCACCATGTGCAGAGGAGATGACCAGTTACTGGATAATGGTCGAACAAGTCCGAGCTCCAGCATATGCTCGAACTCTTGCTTTGCAGCTTTTAGACGCTCAGGTGCGAGGCGGCGTGGACGAGCAAACACGGGTTGTCCGGCTGTCGTTATGGTGTGCGTCACCTGGTGTTTGATGGGAGTTCGACTTCTGGATGTCTTGGAGCAAGGGTGACCAAACGGTCCTCCAAGTGCCGCCTGGCCTGCCGCCCGTTTCCACCTCTGCTACTGGCGCCAAAGTAGGCGCGACTAAAGTGACGTCACTGCGACGCTCAGCCAAGTCATCGGATCCGTTCTGATTCCTAGTTGCGAACAGTACTGTGTCGTGTAACCTAGCACACGTATCGCACGTGGTCATCATCAGCATCCCCATTCTTGGCCACGTTTTTATTTTTTTATGTCTGTCTAACTATTTTAAAATACATCTGAGTTTTCACGTATATGTGCTTATGTTGTCCTGTGGCAAAACTCTTGCATAGTGTCATCACCAGTTCGATCATTCTCATTAGCCTTCTGGCCTGTGCGAATAATATCAACTTCATCTGAGCTTTTATTGATGTGCGGTGCGTTTTTTTTATTCACAATCATTGTGTAATGTCATAATTAATTAACCGAATTGTGAATTTCAGAATACAATGTATGTATTAAATCACCTTTAGATTTTTCTTTTAAACTCTAAATTGAAGAACGTTTATTATGCAGCTCCTTTTCTTGTTTTAGTTATTTATTCCTCGGCTCTTGAGATTTTGACAAATCAGAAAGTATGGAGACATTTGTATAAGAGCGCGTATCGATCTTAGATTGGCGCCAAATACAAAAACAAATATGAAAAACAATGCATGTCCGAGGGTTTTCTGTGAAATAACCCATGCAGGTACCTGCGTAAAAAAGCAGATTGCGTATCTTTTCTTTTCTTTTTTTTTTCGATTGAGCTTTAACTGGATGAATTGAAGTAAAAGCATATCGTGATTCAACGGGAATTAGAGTTTTACGCAACAGCCATATCTTGTACAGACAAAATAGCTCAGCACTGCTCTAAGGCTATCGATACGCGTATAATTCTTAAAACACACCGCATACAAATGTACATCGGGAACACTAAAGCGACGCAGGACTAGAAAATGCGAGATGATTTTGAAAGACCTCGTTTTGGGGTGATGAATGCCAACATAAATGAAGGCATTCGTTGAACTCCGTCTGAGTATATCAAAGCATTCGGATCACAAAAATACACGCTGTAGCCTAATTTAAGTGCAATTCAGAGTAGTATAATAGAACAAAACGCAGTCTTCTTTTGTGCTAAATATAACCTGGATCGCTTTCTTTGAATCAGGAGCGCGGTGGCACATCACTCGGATATTGCTGCTGTACTGGCACGAATAGCAGCTGACGAGGCGGTGAATAAGCGAGGAAACTAAACGCCTAATGATGCGAATTTATGTAAAAAAAAAATAGTATAATGAAGTCAGGGGTGTCAATATAAGCATGTGACAGCAGGATCCAAGGCTAATGCACGAGAATGCGCGTGCGCCCTGCCAATAATTGGCCAGTTTTTTTTTTTATATTTATGTGCATTTCCTGCATTTTTTTGTTGTTTTAGACTCATGTGTGGTCTCATTGTAGTTTGTCTTTTTTTTATTGTACAGCGCGTTAGAAAGTCTTGTGTTTTATTTTTTTGTGCACCTTTACACTCCCGTCACAGCCACAAAACACTAACGGTCTAAAAAAAGAAAACAAAAACCGATTGATCACATGTGGCAACCTACAGTCGGGAAAATTCTAGACCGGAACAAACAACTTACGCGATTCAACCGAACCATTGCAGGGTCTGTTCGGTGATCAATGCAGGTACCTTTCCCGGCGAGTAACCTACCTGCTAGCGGGAGTTTAACGTCACATGACAGGCTCCGTGGGGACTAGAAACTAAGGATACTAGTGTTCCAGGCGAATGGATGACGTATAGACCGTCCTCGCTTCGACTATTCCAGTCCGATTTCGCTCGCTGAAAAAAGTATGAGGAGGTTCGAACTGAGCGTGAAATGAACCGTATTCATGTACTGTAAGGGCGCCATGTAAAGTTATGCCTGGTAAAGGTCGTGCTAAGCGAGAATCATAGAAAAGCGACTGTCAAGGCTTACTCCTGCTGAGCGTAATAGACTCGAACGCTAGGTGACTGGAACATGACCTAAAAATCCCTCGTGCGAGTGAGGTAACCGCTGGCAGAAACAGCTGTATCGATCAGCAAACAGACACAGTAGAGATTGCAAACAGTAAGAATAAATAATCCGCTGAGAGTAATTAACCGCCTTCCTCCCCGTGGGAGCTTCGTGCGTTGATAATTCAGACACGCTTGCGGCAATATCGTGTTGAAGATGTGGAATAAACACCGCCGATAGCGTAATCTCTCGATATAATTTGATGTCGTCTGCAGACAAAAGAGGTAAGATTGTTCTGTGGCGGACACGATATCGTTCGCAAAAGCAATAAAAACAACTTAGACTGGTCTGATCATTGGGAATCCCGGCCTGATGGTGTTTACAAAAACAATTGGCAATGTGTTGTTTGTGTCTGCAGGTTTATGCAACTTAGAACTTCTGAATGCGACAAGTCGTTTTTTTCTATTATTGCTTTATCTAATAAAACAAAAAGCTCCATTTTGTTTAAACAAAGCTTTGAATACTTTATTTGTTTCTTAAATATCTGACATTTTATTAAATTGAAGTTCCCAAAATTCGAAGTTATTTTTCAATGCCATATTTTAGTTTACTGAGAAAAAAGTAGGCAATAATAGTTTCATTCGATAAAAGAAAGTCAAAAGGTATCTGCTGAAACTTCGATAAGTTGGCCGTTTGAATGCCTACATGAATAGCGCGTTGTACAATGACAGTTGATATCTGGAGTGTATCAGAGTCGAAAGCGGTCAGATAACGATTCAGTGCCTCCGATCTGCTCGCCATTCTGAAGTGTTCTGTCCTGCGTTGGCTTTGTTGCAAACGGTTGAATCTTTACAAGATTGCTCCGACACGTTCAGCGACACGACGAACTCTTTTACACGTCCACAATCTCTGTCATACGCTGCCGAGAGCTCCGAACCTAACGTCAACTCCAGCACTTTACGAATGTTATAAAGGGCGAAAAGATTTTATACGGCTATCATCCCCGACTTTCGTTCTTTCGCTGTTCCACCGACACTAAACTCGAAACCCAAGTGGAACGGCGGAACACTTGTCAGTGTGTTTCCGTCGGTCCTACAGCAGTCGATGCTTCGCTCCAGCCCGTAAATATCTCTATCGAAACGACAGCAGGTACTATGTGATAAATATAGATGGGGCGCGACAAGAGCTATACCGAAGAAGCTACTCTTCAGTGAACCGACGCTTCGACCAACGTGTTGCTTGTATATAGTTATCCGAAGCTTCGTCTGAAATTGAACAAAACGTTTTTCCGTCCTCCAAAAAGGTTAATAGGATCCGCGACACCGAGCGAAACGGCATCGTCCTAGCTTCTTAACAGCGTATCTAAATCTCAGAAAATCGTTTTTCTTTTTCTTTTAAATTTTAACTAGTGCCAATTAAAAGCGTTCTGCGCTTAACAACAAAATGGCGGCACGCACAGAAAAAAAAAATTGGTGACATGAGCGTTCATACGTTAAGCTTCGCTATTTAAGGTTCCTATAGTCGCCGACTGGCGAGTACAGAGCATATTGATCATCGCTTCACGGCAAGTTAAGTATGTAGCATAGGCCGATAAAAACGCCGCGAAATCATTCGGAAAGCTTAAGAAACATGATTATACAAGGTCACGCCTCGCTTTTTTTAAGTTGTCGGTGGCTTTGGTCCTTGGTCAACGAAGAAAGCGCAAGTGCGCGGGGAACACTCACAGGGCCACATTGCGGCAGAGACGTCCTTCGTCGGACGACACGATGTCCAGTTCAGCTGAATCCATAGGTGCCACGACGCTGGCTGACGCTGCTGCGACGGATAACGCCACGTCTATCCGTGTCGATGATAGGGCGACTCCTCCTCGCTTCTCGCCTCTGGACTACAATGCGCGGGTAGCTGACCATGTTTTTTTTCGATGTCATGTTCAGTGTTTTGAGTCTGCTTAGACGTGTCTTGAAACAATAACTGCAGCGGGACAAGTTACCTTCGTAAGAAGTATTTCTTGAGACTGATCCTATCAAGACTCTCGTTTAATTTTGGAAACATCGTACTTTAGCCTACATTTCAGCTAAGATGAAAACGTAAGCATGATTTTTTAATAATATACGGATGTTATTTCACTTCGCACAGTATCGAGCAGTTGTCTTGAATAATCCTGGTAGATTAGGTTTTTTGTCTTGGCTCTCACCGCTTGTGCAACGAACGCGTTTAGTCCGTATCAGTCCTAAAATGATGTCGAATCAATTTACCGGTCACAACAGATACATCCGGGACTTGAAAGGCAGAGCACAGAACCCTTCGCGCACTTGACACAAACAGCATCGTCGACGAGGTAATATCAGCCTCCCCGGGATCAAAGTACCTAGCGCGCACACACAGGACACTTCGGAGGAAAACTGCAGTGACGTCGACGTACGGCGAAAACCAATCACCGATGGGAACACCGGCGTTTGCTTTCTTTTTACACCCTCTCCCGGTGCTCGAATTCAGCGAATGAGAACGCAGTTTTCTCGTTTCGTTACAAGATGGCGCCAACATCGCTCTCGTAGAAGACAACTCGAGATCTGTCACGGGCTGCTACCGGAGGAAGTGGGCATAAATGTCACAACAGAACGTGGCGGTTTTTGTTTCTTTTTTTGTTTTGTTATGTCTATGGCGTTCCAGGGGCATATTTATTCGTCCTCTATGCCGCACGAGCCACTTTGGGCGGGAAACGGCTGTAGCGAGTACGGCAGCTGCGCCTTTCACGCTGACGCCGTGTCCTTTCTCCGACCACAGGGTGACAGATTAATGATTTGATCTTTGATTTAATGCGCGTCTCGTAATATCCGCAGTGAATCCTGCGGAGTGCGTACCGTAAGTGGGTTGGCTGGCGTCGCTGTTTTATGTAAATGGCGAGGTTTACTCAGTTGCGTTCTGTAGACCAACTTAATATCCCAGCTTCCGAGCCCTATGCAATTCCAATGGCAACTTTTTGGTCTTTTTTTCAGCAAACACTGAACAGATTGACTTGGGAATGGTTTTATTAGGAGGGCAATACAAAACTGAGTAATACTGATGCGCTACATTATCCTATTTGGAAGTTTCAAAATTTCTTACGGGGGCTTCAATTTGCTTGAACAAGCCCTTTATTTCGTTCCGTTCTCCATGAACATTTCAAAATAAACCAGGGCCCAAATTCAAATTCAGGCGCCACAATATTGAAGACAAGGACTTTCTGGATATATCTCTAACAAAATCTCTTTTCTAGACATTCTCATTGGGATATATTTTAACCAAGTTTGTAGCCCATCAAAATGTAACAAATCAAGCTGTCAGCTGGCGCCATCTATGAATCTGACGGCAATACTTCATCTTGAAATTGCGCAATGTGTTATTGCGCCCTGGACTACTTGCGTATTCAAGGTCACTTGGTCCGCGGACGGGATTTTGAGGGGGAGCGCCTGCCGAAAAACGAAAGTGTTTTTTTATTTTTTTTTTTTTTTTCAGCGGGCGAAGTTATCTTGTGGGCTGCGAAGGTATGATTAGTACTTCGTCAATCGCCCGAACACGTCGTTGGAAGGATATTTCCATTTAGTTGACCCATTTCCTCAGTGAATAAAGTTCTCTCTTTCTCTCTCTCGGTGTTTTGGGGTCGCACATATGCGAATGAAAGGTTTCTTCTTTTTTTTTTTCCTTTTTTGTTTGGCGGTCAAGACATTTTGCGGGTGGGTGCTCGTCATTCGGAGGATGTCGCGTTCTTCGTTGGCGTTTTGGGTCAAGAAAATGGGGGTGAAAGATTTCACACTTCAAGCGGTCCTTGCGGGAGGCCTGAAAGAAACACCGACAGGGTATTTACGCTCGCCGAGGTTTTTAGTTGTACATGACATATGAGGGCCCAACTACCCCGGACACAATTTGCGGCTCGAAATTCGGTTTCTTTCCGCCCGAAGACCGCCGATCAAGAACTGGCCTGTTCGAGTCTCGCTCATTCTCTTTCCCGTGGTCACGGGCCGTTTTCTAAGGTTTCGACGCGACCAGCAAATTTAATCAAAGGCGTTGGTCATTGAAGGCATACACCCAGTATTAAAAATAAAAAAAAAACATATGAAAACAATTTTGTGTGGCTTCTAAAAAGCTGCAAATACGTTGATTGAAAAAAAAAGTTGCACAGAGAACCGGAAGCATTTTGTGCGTGCGTCGTTTCGCGTATCGTGGGACTCGCGGGAACGGCGATGGCAGCGGACGACGGGCGTGAGACCTCTACTTCAGAACTGTCGTTCGCGGTACCGGCGAATTACGTCTGCCTTACGTAATTACGTAATTTACGTAAAACGTAAATTTACGTAAAAGCGTAATTTCTGTGGCATGGCTGCCACAGAAAAGATGAAAAGGATTGGACAACTCACGGTCAAGGGGCGGAAGTGTCTGGTGCTGGATCCCAACGCAAAGGACATTAGGGTAAGGCTACTTTGGCTCCCAACGTATCTGGAAGACAGACGTGTGGTGGAAGCTCTCGAGCCTTACGGTAAAGTTCGTAACATCGTTAGGGAGAAATGGCGAGTCCCGGGAATGGAACACCTGGAAACCATGAACAGAGAAGTCAGCATGACGCTGCACGACGCCGTCAGCTCTTCCGACCTGCCCCATATGATCAAGGTATATGGGGTGCAATCCCTTGTCATTGTGCCTGGAAGACCACCGCTTTGCCTACGGTGCAAAAAAGTAGGCCATATCCGGAAACAGTGCCGCGCACCAAAATGTACCAAGTGCAACAAATTTGGTCACGAAGACAACGAGTGCTACGCGACCTATGCCACGGTGCTGAGGCGCGGTGACGAGGATGCCGAATCGAATCTCGACCAGTTCATGGACGTGTCCGAAGTAGTGGGAGCCAACGGCGAAGTGGGGGCGTCCACGGGCGGCCCTGCAAACAGTCTTCCCTCCGTACCAGGCGAGACCGGCGCCATCAACGACCACCAGCCACAAGACCCAGGAGTCATACCTGTGTCCTCGAAGACAGGGGATGATTCTTCCATGGAGCAAGGCAGTAACTGCGGCAGTGCTGCTACACCTTCGGAGCTGGACGACCGAGACCAAGGTGAAACCAAGCAAGCAGGTCCCTTTCCCGAGGGTCAAGGGAACGGAGTGGACACAAACTCTGCTCTGGGAACTGGTGTCAGTGACGTCAAGCGAAAGAAATTGGAACCGGGGGTCACATACGCAAGTAAGCGCATAAACGTGTCGAAGCCGCTTGCGCGGCAAGCCCAGGAAAAGCCACCCCCTTAAGCAGCGATGGGCGGTTTCCGCTTCGCCAGCTTAAATGTACGCGGTTTTCATTCGAGGAAAAAGCAGAATCAGCTACACCGTCTACTCGAAGAAAAGGAGATTGACTTTTTAGCAGTACAAGAGACAAAGCTAGAGAATGAGGAAGAGGTTGACCGCGCTTTACCACTTTTTTTGAGAAAATACGAGGTATGTGTCAGCCATGCTGCCGGTCTTTCGGGGGGGTGTTTCTTGTTTATAAAAAAGTCAGTTCAGTTAAGCGAACTAGCTCTGACGGTTGACCTGCAGGGCCGCTTTGTTATGTGTGATTTCCGGGTGCAGGAATGCAAGTGGCGGGTGATTTGTGTGTATGCACCAAACGATGTGAATTCCCGAGTTCAGTTTTTCAATTACTTGCGCTCATACTTGGTGTGTGATAGACTAGTTGTACTCCTTGGAGACTTCAATTGTGTTTGCGACTTAAATGACCGAACGCCGACCAGGCCCCATCTTGATAGAAGTGAACAACTATTGCTCGAAGTAGTCGAAGAGGGAGGCTTGCTAGACGTAGCCAACTTTCAAACAGGAACCAAACTCATACAGTTCACGCACTTTCAACGGGCGTCGCATGCCCGACTAGACAGGTTGTATTGTTCTATTGAACTAATACAACTTTTAAATGCTTATACTGTGGAACCTGTGTTATTCACAGATCACTGCATGGTTGCGATAACGATTGGACAAAAACGGAGGAAGCATAAGCGCATCAATTGGAAACTTTGGAAGCTAAATTCTCAGCTACTTAAAGATGAGTTTTTCGTGTCCGAAACGCGAAAATTACTTAGAAAAGTAGGTCAAAACGGGGAAAACATTTTTGCGAGGTGGGAAACCTTTAAGCAAGACGCAAAACAATTGGCGATCGAAAGAGCAAGCACGCTTAATTATTACAAGCACGAAAAAGAAAAGCAACTCCAGCGTGACTTGCATCTTTTATACGAGCTGGAATGCAAAAATCCTGGCTACGGAACAAAAGACATAGAGTACATAAAAGCTCAGCTTGACAGTCTTTATCAGGAACGGTACGCGGGCGCGGTCGTGCGGTCGAGGGCAGAAAAGTTTCTCTTGGGAGAGCAACCCACAAAGAAGGCGTTGGAAGACGAAAAGAGACACGCACTGAGTAAGGAAATACTAGAGATAGAGCACAGAAACAGAATCGTCACTGATAAGGAGGAGATCGAACGCGTCTTTCTTGATCACTATCGAGCACTGCTAAGCTGTCCCGCATTCGCAGACGATACCAAGGGTCTTGCAAAATTGATAACGTTACTACCGCGACTGAGTGAAGACTGTGTTGAAACCCTTGAAGAACCGATTAGTGTGCAAGAAATTGTAAATGCTGTGGACGCTCTCCCACAAGGAAAAACACCGGGACCCGACGGGATAATCGCTGAGTTTTATAAAGTGCACAAGAACGAGATTTGTCTCGTGCTGCATGAAGTTTTTCAAGAGGCCCACAAGGTAAACGCGCTCCCGCCTTCGTTTCTACGGGCACACACGGTGTTTATTCCAAAAGAAATGGACAACAACCAACGACGCTGCGTGAAAGGGTACCGCCCGATAACATTGTGTAATGTGGACTACAAGATATTCGCAAAAGTACTGGCAAACAGAATGCAATCTATTATTTGTGAAGTAGTCGGGGAACATCAAACATGTGGGATAAGGGGTAGAGCAATCCAGAGCAATATTCACGTGGCCCGAAGTGTGTTAGATTGTGTGTCTGGAAGAGGCGACCAAGTTGCAATGTTGCAAATTGATTTAGAGAAAGCGTTTGACCGCGTTCAGCATGATGTCCTTTTCAAGATACTGGCGCATGTAGGCGTTGGGAAGATAATATTACAAGGCGTTAAGATGTCGTACACCAACTGCTATACGAGTTTGGTGCTTAACAATAACGTGACGGAAAGTATACCAGTCCATTCTTCTGTGAGGCAAGGGTGCCCGCTGTCCCCCTTACTTTTTTCTTTGTACCTCGAACCACTGTGTCAGAGCATAATCCAA